TCTGATCAAAATTTTTTCTCTTCAATATAACTTCATTAATAGTTTGAAACTAAAATACAGTGGAAAGTTTACAGTACAAATGCAAATATCGAGAAATCAAATGACTAACTAAACCAGAACAATATTTCGAACATTCTTACAATCATGCAAATACTTCAGTCATTTTATTGTTTTCAAGTAACTTTTTAACAACCATCTGTACTCAAAAAATAGGAAAATGAAAAGAACAAATTATATTTACAATAAAAATTCAAATTTAATAAAAAACGAAGAAAGTCCGTTTTAAAGAAAGAGAGATAATGGAAGAAATATTAAAAGGGGCAAATATTAATTTAAAAATTTATTTAACATTTAGCTAAATTAATCATTTTCGCATCATTTAAAAGAACATATTGCGAGATTTCAACCATTTTTGAAAATGAAGAAAATTTGTTTCAATTAAGTTGTTAATCATTTCCTATTCCAATTTCTTTTTTTTTTTTGTAAGTTGACAGTGTCATCATTTTAAAGAAAGAATTATCAAGTATGAACAGAAAGGAATAATAGGTCATGGGACAAAAAAGGGACTCTAAAATACAATAGGAAAAAAAGATCGGGAGATTTTTTATTCCTACGTCTATGTGTGGTAAAATTGATTGATCGATTAAACATTGTGGGAAAATTTTCGGCATCCTATTATATGACGAATACTTCTGGTATCTTATTGTGTGAAGAATGCTTAAGGTATTTTATTGCATGACAAATGCTTTTGTTGTACAGTATCTTGTTGTACAAAGAATGCTTGAGGTATTTTATTGTATTGTTCCAGTATTTTATTGTACAAAGAAAGAATGCTTCAAGTATTTTATTGTTTGAGGAATGCTTAATATTAGCGACAGCTACATAGGTTGTGAAAAGGAATCATTCATCATGGATTTATTTTTCTAATATTTTTAATCACAGATAATTCATGTATGGAATTATTTTTCGATAATATAATCGAATATCTAATCCAAATTTTAGGGTATGAAATTAAAAGAATTAAATTATGAATAACATATGTTCATTTTATGGAAAATTAGAAAAAAAAAATGGAAAAATGAATGTTTTCGAACTTAATTCAGTTGGCCTTTCAAAATAAATTACAAGTGAAAAAAATGTACAAGTTTATCGATTTAACAATTCTGATTAATAGAACTCACACTCAATATCGAATAATTTTAATTCAACCAAAATATCCTCATCCCACTGTATGCCGTATTACACAAATAATTTCAAAAATTGTAAATTTAGTAAAATCATTATAAGTTTTAGTAAAAATTGGGGTTTTTTTTTCGGAATTTGAAGTTAACTTTTTTTGCGATATCTTCATTATCAAATATATTTAAATAAATGTGTATATATATATATATATATTTAAATGTAAAATATTGTTGTTAATTAACTTTAATACTCAAGCATTAAAGGTGTTTTAGATATAAAAAAAGAAGTGAAGTAATCGTAACATTGAAACATCGAACTGCGCTACATACATCTTTTTTTTTTTGCTAATTTTGATGCACCTACTGAAAAGAGAATTTAAATATTTTGTTAAATTTAAAATTAGTTATTGCAGTAATTCCTTCATTTGCTTGATGATACTATCATTTTGTAAAGCATTTTAACGGAACAAAAAATGTCTAAATTCAGCAAGGAAAAAAATTTTGAAAATTTTAATCATATCCACTGTATATTTTTCCATTTAATGATTCCAACATAACTGTACATATTTCTTTCATTGATCTTCATCATCACATTAGATAATGAATGTACTTGCTGCTAATTATCTATCAAATTATTTTTTTCCAAATTTTTGAAAAAAATTTCTTCGGTATCATTTTTTAAAATTTTAACGTTCCGAATATTTTCATCATTCATCAATGAATAAATAATTATTTCATACTTATAATAATAAGTCTTTTGAACTTATTATCTCATCCATCTCATCTTACTATCATCATTATCATCATAATCATCTTCTGATAATTGAGCCGGCTGTCATAAAAAGATCAAAGAAGAGCTTTAAAAGTGGAGAAAAAAAGAAAGCTAAGAAAACCTTGAAAGATAAAGAGGCCAATTATATACGGTAAAAAAGAAAAAAGAATAATACCAATATATCAATCGCATTCTTTTTCTTTTTTTAAAAATCTAACCATTCAAAATTTTTGAAAAAAAAAGGAGGAAAGAGATGAAAAATGAATAATTTTTGAGGTGTAGAGTAGAAAAAAGAAAAGAAAAGATTCTTTTTTCATTCTTTGTATATCAACTAAACCCCTCTCTCTCCCTCTATCTCTCTTTCTCTCTCTCTCTCTCTCTCTCTCTCCTTCCTTTCCTACCAAATAATACAATAATGCAATAATGAAAGGAGCAGAAAATTGAGCGGAAATAATTTGCCCATGTTTAATTCTCATAACGGTACACAAAGGACGGGAAGAATAAATGAATGAAATAAATTGTTAGATGAATGGAATGAAATGATGATAATGAGCGGTGACTGTATTTTTTCTTTTTTAAAAAAATTTAATTTAAAAAATTTGCTATTTAAAACATAAATTGAAGATAAAAGAAATGATAATTAAAATGCGTGATATTCTATCAAGAATAATTATATAAACAATGGTCATTTTGAATAACGAATAATTTAAAAAAAATCAGCAAATATATGTATATTTCTTTACCTATTTATTTATTTACTTATTTATGTACTTATTTTCTTCACAATAATTTTTGTATTGTTATCATTGAAATTCTATGAATTAAAATAGATCACAACATAAATAAATGACGATCATCGAAAATTCATTATTACCCTCTTAATATAATTAAAATACCATGAATATCATATATTAAAAAAGTCACGAAACAAAATTTTTATTTGATTATCGAGTATAGTACATAGGTGCTTTATCTCGTTTTATTCAAAAAAATTTTTTTAAAATTCTTTGGTATAAAAGGTCGCATTTGTAACAACATTGTAACAGCTCGTAAATAGCAAATTGCAAAATTATCATTGATCATTTAAAAATCTTACAATCGAATCATCAAATTGTAAGAGATGATATAATCTTAAAATAACTTTTCATTTCACATAATTCCATAGCTAATGAATATGCAAAATATTTTCTGATTCATCGCACATATGGATATAAATCATTTTATAATACACAAAAACAAAAAAATATATAAGAGGAAAAGAAATAAAACAAATTTGCATAATACTATTTATACAAAACAATATGCATTTAATATATCAAGTACTATAATACTGAAATAACTATTTGAGATTAGAATTATTTCAGTTAATAATAATTTGTTAAAATTGCTAATTTACTAAATTCAATAGTGTTGCTAATTGTCTTTGTGAATGGAATTGAATGGAAATGAAAAATGATTCTTTTATAATTTTTTTTCCTTTTCATCTTTTCTTTATTCTACCATCTGAATACAATGAAAATTTTGTTTCTTTTTTCCTAATTTACTCGTAACTTTGTGATTTAATATGCGTATGAGTGTGTGTTGTATTTATACAGTCTGGAAAGAAAAATTTAAATTGAAAAAAAAAGAATGAAATGTCAAGGAGAAGATCATTGGAATAATGAAAATGTTAGATACATTTCTCTAATTCGGAAAAAATACCCGACAACATTGCAATTCAAAACAGAAAATGCATTTTTTTTGGTTGGACATTCCGCCCAGATTCGGAAAATTAGGATATTTTACTAGAATCAAATCACTGTATTATATGCATATGTATTTCATTTCCAGTTATTCTAATAAAGTACATCAAGAAGGATTGATGTAACAAACAATACTTTGCTTATTTTCAATCAAAACATTTTTCCTCCAATTCCAATTCATTTTTCGCTGCTCTCTTTTTTAATCATTTCTTGAATCCATTCATGCTTCAAAACATCCGCTAACGGTAAACGTTTCATTGGGTCTTTTTGAAGAAGCTAAAAATTTAATTGAATACCAAAAAAAATTCCTCCATCAAAAAATTATAAAATTGTTATAACCATATATTCAAAACTATTTTACATCGATAACAATAACTTTTTACTGATTTAATCGCTTACTTTTTTTTCCACCATATTTAATGTATTTTGTTAGTTTGCTGAAATATTTAACTTGCTATTATATCAAAATTTTAGCATCCATTTTTCTTTTTTCCTTAAATAAAAATTAAAATAAGCGCCAATTCATCATCTTAAATTTTTACATCATTTTTCATCCAATAATTTTTATAAAAATTAACGATGATGAAATGTCGTATAAACATTTGCGCAACCAATAAAAAGAAGATCAAGAAAAATATAAAAAGAAGTGAATAAAAACGAACAGATGATATGAGATTTTTTGCACCATTTGGTACGCTATCTGGTATTGTATACCTACAGTTGCGAATATTGTTCAGAGTAAGTTCTACAGTCTGAAACATTTAAAGATTAAAAAAAAATTTGTTACTGTCAAATGTCATGCAATATGATATAGTATTGTAAGCAATGTAATTTGATTAATGTTAATAATTCAATGAGATTTTTTAATATTATAAATGGTAATGTTATTATACCTGGAAACATCAACAATATATCCCATATTACTTACTCCTTCCCCAATTACTATTCATTAATTAAATTTATGTGTAAATTTTATTAGATGTTTTCGAGAGTAATCCAATCTGCCACATACAGTATTTCGTCTAAACAAAAAAAAGGACAGAATAATTTTCTAAAAGATTTCATCGAATGTGATAATTTTAGTATCTTTAAATTAGATAAGCAATAAACTACAAATTTAATTCCATAGATAGTATGATAAGATATTTTACCTTAGCTTCAAATGCAGGTTTACCAACTAAGAATTCATACAGCATAACACCCAATGCCCAATTATCAATTTTCAAATCATGTGTTTTTTCAGGTGTCACTTCTGGTGCTAAGTAATCCAATGTACCACATACGGTATTTCGTCTAAACAAAAAAAAAAAGAACAAAATAACATTTCTAAAACATTTCATCAAATATAATTTTAGTTAGGTAAGCAATAAACGTAAATTGAGTAATTAAAGTGTAAAAGAGATAAGTTTAATTGTAACCAAATGGATTTCCATCAAGAAAAAACACTTCGTGATAAAGAATTAATTGTTACACTTGAAAGCTACTGAGAAAAGTTTTGAAATAACTGGAAACAAAAGAAATTAAAATAACTAGAAATTCCAATATTGATAATGTTGATAATTAGTACAATTTCGAGAATAACAAAAAAAAAATAATAATATGTACGATGATTACAGGATACCTTGATGAAGGTTCATGTACTGACCATCCGAAATCTGATATTTTCAAAATACTTTTTGCACTAATTAAAACATTTTCAGGTTTTAAATCTCGATGTATCACTTTCTTCTGTTGGCAATACTCCATAGCTGATGCCAACTGATACATATATCTAGCAGCTAATTCGGGTGGAAATGTTTTCATCTGAATGGAATTTTTTTCTCATCGACAAATTAAAACGAATTTATATGACATTATTAATTTTAAAAAAATTATAAAAAGCCACATCAAACTTAAGAATATAAACAAAATAGGTTGAACTTCAAACAATTCATCGATACCACTTGAAGTTGTTGAAAGAGGTTTCCTTTGGGTGCAAATTCTAACACCATGTATACGCGATCCTCATCGTGAAAATAACCGTATAAGCGAAGAATGTTTGGATGCCTAAATTTAAATTTAAAAATTTTCTCCATTTTGGGATATAATTGAGGATAAAGAGAAATTTCCATCCATTCATACATAAACATTATCACAAGCTTATTCATATCAATGTTTACTTTTTAGAGGAAATAAACAAATATTGCCTCTTTCTAAGCTATTGTTCGGATAAAATTGAAACGTTAACAAAAATGTAAGCACAAAATGCTTTCTTGTGACAGATGTAAAATTTCAATTTTTTAACTTCAAATATCTACCTCAAATGGTATTGAATTTCAATTTCACGTCGCAGTTGCAATTTCAAATTATTTTCTTCCAACTGTGATTTGTATACAACTTTAATAGCAACGACAAATTTGGACTCAATTTCTCGAGCCAAATATACTTTACCAAATCTACCTTTACCCAATGGTCGTCCAATTTCGAAATCATCCAATGACCACTGACGACTTTTTGGTCGCACATCATGTATAGTACAGAGCGTATCAAATTTAGTAATAATATCATCATCATCACTTGTTGATTCTTCGTCCATGGAATTCCTATATAATAGAGCAGTAATAGGAATAGTTTATCACAAAATTTGTAATCTAATATAAAAAGTCTTAAAGATTTGAACTCAATCAATATGAAAATCGTACATAAAATATCAATTAACAAACGGGTAATATTTTATATAAACAAATAATGTTAATTTAAAAAGGTAAATTATAAAATAATGTTATTTTTAACCTCATTTCTAAACCTTAAATGCTAATGAAACCGTAAAAACAACTTACAAAATTACCGGTAGATGGAATGTTAGATGAAGATAGGTGAGATGACGATTTGTATCGATCTACTGATATTGATTATCTCAGAGATCAGAAAACACTTCAAAAGAAAGATCTGGAAAAAATTGAAAAAAAATTAATATT